TCTCTCTCTCTCTCTCTCTCTCTCTCTCTCTCTCTCTCTCTCTCTCTCTCTCTCTTCTTCTCTCGACATATGATGTATGTTAAGTTCTGCATGTATCACAACTTCTTTATCCCTGTTTGTTTGTGTATGATGTGGTTCACTACTGCGTGATGTATCCGTGTTCAGTGCTGCTGTTTTTTGTCATTCTGACCCGTAGTAGCGGACCTCTCTCTCTCTCTCTCTCCATCTCGATGTTGACTTCAGCCTATAATACAACTTCTTGATCCCTGTTTGTGTGTGTATAATGTTCGCTGCTCTTTGCGTCTCCAGGTACATGTGGTTCACTATTGCGTGACGTATCTGTGTCCATCGACGCTGTTTGTTGTCGTTCTGTCCCGCAGTAGTGAACCTGTACATCCGACACTGGATTTAGCAAGAGGTTGGCTATGGTGCTGCAGTGGCAATCATTTTCCTGTGCAGATGGAAGACACATGATACATACACAAACGTTGTGGATCGCTACCTGGCCACGTGGAAGCCGCGCAAACATGATGATGAATGATTTGTCATGTATCCTGTACCTGTTTGTCAAGCGTTGCGTTTGACTACACGACCATTGATGTCATGACACATAAATTATTGTGTCACACGGTTGACCAGTAATCTCTCTCAATTGTCATCATACACATACCATTTATACCGAAAACAGCACTCAGTACTCCCTCTCTTTCTCTCTCTCACACAGAAGAGGATGTGCAACATTGAGACAAAACAACAAAATACGCCTTCAAATTGTTACTTACTATTAAAACGACCAAGAACAATGTACAAAAATGTTAATCAAAACATTGTCCACACCGCTCTCTTTGTTTTTGGAATGCACTGCGTGCACAGAAAGCGGTGTCCCAGGGTGAGGGGTGTAAGCCGATAATTTCACGACGAAAGGGCGTCCGTCATATATGAAAGAATTTTCAACGGTTTTGAAAGAGGCGAATCAGGAAAACACTATTACAAAATGGACAGCGGTCCAAGGGTGTGCGATTGTGGCAGGCCTTTCATGTCTTTACGGACTTTAAACTCACATCGAGCGAGGGCATGCCCGGCCGCAGTGGCCGAAAGAACACCAGGGCAGGAGATGGGTGTGGTCGATGAGGCCGGACCATCAAGTACAGGTGCAGTGAATCTCATCAGTGATGAGAGTGAGGACGTCGGGGCCCCCGACAATGTAGAGGGTGAGGGCGGGACATTTGAAAAACAGCAACCGCCGCCTGTAGAGTATTTCGACAGCTCTCGCAAGCTGGCGGCACTGATTTTCTCTTCCAGGGACGGCGTCGATATGTCGCAGAATGACATCGATACTCTCTTGTCACTTCTCACACACCCGAGATTCAACACGGGAGACATCGCATATCGTAATAGTCGAGAGTGTTTGACATGGGCAGGGAGTCCAGCAGAGGCTGCTGGATAGCAAGAGCTTGATCTACGATGTGATGATTGGCCACTAAATTCGCACGCCATCTTGTGGCACCGCGACTGGCGAACGACATTTCTGTCGATTTTGCAAATCGCATTACAGAAATGCGAGACGGTGTCTTCTCTGGAAATGTCTCCTCCGTCAGAGCAGCTCAATATATCCAGTCCGCGCACCGGGGTGCTAAGTTATCACGTCGAGACAATCATTAGAGCGGACAAAGGTGTGGATAGGAATGGTAATCCACGTTTTGTCATCCCTCTCTTATTGTATTCCGAAAAGACACATATATATGGTCGTAAAAAACAGGCAGCGTACCCTCTGATGACGTCACTCGCCGACCACGCATCTGAAGCCACACTGCTGGCATATCTTTTTGTGCTTCATCATCGTCCACGTGACAAAGGATGGGGTCTGCAGTCCAGCGCATTCAGAAAATGAAAGGGCGTCGTTTTGCACAAGGCCCTTGCAGTGGTGTTGCAGTCTGCGAAGGAGGCATCTCATGATGGCATAATGATACCGACAGAGCGATTCGGGGACATAACTGTCTACCCTTTCCTCCTGAACTATATACAAGACTACCCAGAAAGATGTGCAATTGCAACTGTGAAATTTGGGGTGCGTCCAACGTACACCGTGTCAAAAAACGACTTTGATGTCGTGGCCGATTTCACGAACTGCAGGAGATCACAGACACTGGAAACACAACTCGCAGCAGATGTGTTCAACGCCGATGACATCGACATTCGCCGTGCGGCTGAAGCATGAATGTCAGAGTTGAACATGCATAAGCATGTTCAACAAAACGGCCTTTGGGTATTCTACAGGGGCCCCAATGGTGATGATCCTCAGCAAGACTACCACCTTGCATTGCAACCAGACCGTATGCAGACAATCAAGCATGGCATATTCTTGCGCATGATTGATACATTCAGGACCGCAGCCTTTGAGAAGCTAGCACACTTACCACACACAGAGATCCTGAAGGAACTGGATGCAAGGTTGCAAAGCGTTAGTGAGAGATGCTCCCCAACATACCCACAACTTGTGCTGCCCGTGGCCACTGGCAGCGACTTTTTTGGAGGGAGGGACGATTTGAGGCCAAGCAAAATCGGTCTGTAATGACAGTGTGCGTGTTCCTTATTTCTAATATTATCCCACGCTCGACATTTGTTTTGTGAAATGAATGGAAATATACATACGCTTGTTTTGGTGCACAACACACACTCGTGCTTCCCTTGATGAATGCGATGCTTTGATCACGGACTTTATGACGACCATCAAAGCAAAACTAGAAAAATATCAACCATCAACATGGAAACTCCCCAAGTTGCATGATGTCATGCATCTTAGAACGTGCATTGAGCGATCTAGTGTCCCCGACATCTTCGCGACAGATGTCAGGGAGCATCACCACAGGAAGTTCTGCAAACAGCCATACCTGTCATCAAACAAGCGGAAAGCTTCAACCCAGATGGTGAACCATGTACGCCAGCCACTAGCATTGCGCGAAGAGACAAAGATCGCAAGGAAACGAAGGAAGAGAACGGTTGAGAACCGGCCGTCCCTGACAGATTGTATGGCGACCGGAATGAACACCCTGGCACTACGCGATACAACAACTCTGCAACTGCGGTGGTTCAACATCAATGACAAATACATACAGGAGGAAGAAGGCATTGACAACCTTGCGTGTAAGGTACTCAAAAAGCTTCCTTGAAAACCGGACTCAATTTTCGAGCTGGGCTGACGACGTACATGGTGGAGGATGGTTGTCAACCTCCTTTTGACCAATTGTTCATACACACACAGACACACCTCGTCATCGCCTGCGTACAGGATGAAACAAACAAGGGCACTCTTGTTCAAACTCCATGAGCTTCACCAGAGTTTCCTGGGAGAGCAATGCATAGTGATGTGGCAATTAGAGCAGGCAATGAATGCGCATGGTTTGCATCTGTGACCTTGTTTTTTGTTGTAAACACACCCACGGACAACGGTAATGCTGAACACAGGTGCGGATTTGTGCAATGGTACAAGGAGGCCGACAGCGAAACGCAGCACATAACAGGTTGCAAGAAATTGAAATGAGAGAAGTTGAATGGACATGAACACAGTAGCGTCATATCGACTGACACTATCGTAGACACGGTTCACATTGTTCCATGTTTCTCTAAACCAGAATGGGGATCGAAGCAGCATGCAAAACAACGTGAGGACATTTTTTATGTGAACAAGTATGTGTTGTAGAAGAAACAAATGATAAGTTTCAAACTTTGCTATTAGAGAACCGTGCCCTGTGAGAAACGAATGTTGTTTCATTATGGTCTCACATGAGAGAGAGGTACAGGTAGGAGGGGGGGAGAGAGAGAGAGGCGTTTTTAAAAGCAGTARAAAAAAAAAAAAAAAACATGTCTCTCTATCTGTCGCCTTGTGAGAAACTCGTCTTGTTTCGCTATGGTGGTATATGCGAGTAACACACACACACACAGAGAGAGAGAGAGAGAGAGAGAGAGAGAGAGAGAGAGAGAGAGAGAGAGAAGCGTTTTTCTTGTGAAGCACAGGGAAACAAAAAAGGACATTTGTCTCTTTCTTTCTATCAATTGTTGAGAGAAATCATCTCAAATGTGGCAAACCTTATGAACTGGTGAAAACCACATGTGAGAGTAAATCCACTCTAAAGTTCACTACTGCGTGACAATTACATGGTGAACAGGGACATCGATTCAGTTTTGGCACGAAGTAGCCAACTCTCTCTCTCTCTCTCTCTCTCTCTCTCTCTCTCTCTCTCTCTCTCTCAAGTATTTTATACAAATCATTGCAAGTACCCCAAAACATAACAATTTGTGTGTGTCATGCCAACTTGACCGACACGTGTGAACAAGAAGACAAACTTGGGACCTCGCTCGTCGTTCGGGAAGGAGCGACAGTGGCCACTTATTAAGACGATGTAGGTAAGAGAAGCCGCGTGAGCATGACAGAGTCACATAAAAGCAACACGGGTGGTGGCGGCAAGAAGTGTTCGTAAATGGGGGGTGAAACGGCGACCAGTCCCAGGACAAAAAATAACGACGAACAGTCATGCAGAGAGGTCGCAAGCGAACCGTTGTTGCCACTGACCAGTGAGAGGTCGGTGAAGAGGTGGAAGAAAATGTTGAAGGACCCTTGGTACGTGGAAATGTACGATATGATGACGGAAGGTGAAGTAAAGTCTCCCCAGCTGATGGTTGAAGAGTCATCCGGCATTAAGGGAAAGGCGAAAGTTGGGGACATGACCAGAAGGTGAGAAGAGAAGACAGACATTAATGATGAGGACGAATTATTCCCCTTCACGAGGAAATCAAGGAGACATGCCATCCCCGTAAAAAATCCAACGTTGCACGATTGGCCAACAATGAATGATTGAACGACAACATTATCGACATTTTTTTGCAGTCTGTGTATGAAGAACACTCGCCGTCCCGGGACAGCCTCACGGTAAATGTGTGTATAACTTTCTGGCACCCCCTGATCATTGGTAATAAAAAAGTGCATTTTATGAAAAGCGGATGGGAAGACGCGATCAAGAACAGACCATGGAAGTCGCTTCGACTAAGCAATGAATTGCGATGCACGACAGCTACTGTAATACCTGTGAACCATAGCAAACATTGGGTTTTGCTTCTGTTGCTGAATGTGAGAGACTTTTTGGCAGTCCTCCTATTGCTGAATCAGGACAACAATGTCGGCGAACCTCCTATTGCCATCGTTGTTGACTTCTTCAAAGGGAACGAGAGGAATGGAAGGCCTTGCTAACATTTCTGTGGCACGAGTACCTCTACGAGGCATCCAACGCGAGGGTGTTGACTCCAGAAAAGGTTAATACGTCCTGGGTGACATGTAGAGATCTACTAGGATGTAAACAGTTTCATGTGGAATGCTCGCAGCAGAATAGTTTCACGGACTGTGGTGTTTATGTATGTTGCATCACTGCCAGAGTAATACAATTTGTTGCGGGAACCGCACCAACGGATGTAAGAGCTAAGGACATACTGAAAGTTGTTAACAGAACAAAGGTGAACGAAAAAAATGTTCACCAATTTCGTCAGTCCATGGTGCACCGGCTAGCGTTGTGCTGCAGTTGCAAAAGGTCACGGCACAGTCGTGGCCTCACACATAGCGAAAACGTTAAGAGGCCTCATAAATAAAAGACATAGCAGTACTTCGTCAGGCATAAATTGTCGTTCCGAGTGTAAAAGGAAAGTGTCGAAGGAAGGTTCACTACTGCGTGCAATTTTAACACAAAGACCGATCGCTTGTCATATTGATTGGCACGCAGTAGCCAACCTTCTCGCAAAGACAGTCGGGGAGGTAACTTCCAAGGATTTGTTGGTGATGATTTTTATTTTATTTTATTTTCCTTTTAATGACTATGCGAATTAGTGCCCCGTAACAATACAGATAGACTCCAAGAACGAGCAAAGAGGTTGGTGACTTACATGACGTCGCAGTATCAATAATAAGACAATGGTCTCTCTCTCTCTCTCTCTCAGTATCAATGATAAGACAATGGTCTCTCTCTCTCTC